GATAGACACTAGGCGATTGACAAAGTTGATTTTTGATATTCAAGTTTACATGGAATGAGACATGCAGTGTGGAAAATTTTCGAACTAGGGTTAGCAACTTCCCTCTATTACTGTTGTAGTGGCTGATGCTATGCCGAGCCCATATAGGTTATTCCAGCTTCTGCACATACCAATTTATTCACTCTTCTCAAGCTACATTTTGACCTTGTCACTAATTCGCTTACTAACCATGACTTCTTTTATGATGGTTTGTTCACGTATTGCTTACCCTATTCATCAAATGTTTGTGACCTATTTTTGTTTTACTATGAATATCGATTCACGCTTGGTAAACTGGAGTTGGCTCGCATGTTTCCTCCGACTCGTTTCGTTTCTCTCCTCTTTGCTAACTTCACTGCTCTTTCTTGATTGTCCATTCAGATCAACGATTGTATGAAATGTATATATTTGAAATTCGTTCTCGTATTCGACTTATTAAATTCAGTTACTCATCAATGCGATCTAAGTCAATGATTATATACGAGGGGAGCGGGGATGTATATATCAATAACCATCATTCATACGATTAACCTGGAGGCAGATAAATGGCCATAAAACTGTATAGGCAGTAATCATGTCCGTGAAAGATTAGCCTAAATTATACGCAATTTTCTAGATGAGGCTTTTATGATATATCATAAGTGGTTTTCTGAAATTACTTAGAAACCAATAATTCATGTAAATGTCTTTTCATAAGGTATATAACATATATTTGTAGCGGGATTCGGAATATTATCGATGAGTCGAGAAGTATATGGTCCAGGTTACTGATTGTTGTGATGTACCAAATAATAATTTGGTGCAGATGCATGATTAAGGGTCTTCAGTCAGGATGAGTCTAGTAAAACAAATTAGGTTAGCATAAATATCGTAGGCTTGCAGAACCTGGCTACCAAGAATGTTTGCCAACGAAAAACCTGTCAGCTTTGAACGTCTGGCTCGTCATATACCGAGATTCTCACAACACTACTCATAGAAAGTGTGGTACAGTGGTAAACAAATCCTAAATACAAATAGCTTCGTAACCTAGCGACTTTATTACTGAGCATATAAATTTCTCCGAAGTCGTGATCAGCCATAGGTATTTAGTCAAGCTTTGTATGATATCACGCTCCAATGCCTCGTGTAAAACACCACCCACACAAGTAGCCATTTTTGATACTATCAGTTACATCCTCCTCTCTGATCACGATTGACGTTTGGCTTAATTGGCTTTGGGACCATTTCATTTGTAGAGATCCAAACAATATACTATCAAACTCTTCATATCTAATACCACATAAATCGTAAAACAAAGCCTAGAAATTTCTAGAAATTTAGATAGTTTGACTGCCGAACTGTTGTGAACCTTATTCAGTGTTTATTAAGTATTGCATCTGAGAAAAGCTCCCACATAGTATTCACATGAAGCTTGTTCAAAGAAGAACGGGCGACCATGATACTTAAATAATAAGACAAACCCTTATCAGCTTATCTGATAACACTTTAGCAGTAAATGAACACCAAAACTAAATAGGTTTTGAAGTTTTATACGTTGTTGTTGACCTCATTCGTTGTACTGGACATACTTGACTGAAGGTTCTCGGTCATGCAACCGTACCAGATCACGAGGGGATACACCGTTCTACACGTCCTTTGCAACTGCTTGCCAGTGTAGCGGTAAATAAATCATTAAAATAAATAGCTCTGCAAGTTTTCGACATTGAATGCTGACCAGATTAGATTTTATGGACTCACCTAGCTGAAAGCACTCGGTCATGCATCGGCACCAGATCACGAGTGAGAACGCCGTGCTCAACAACCCATACGATCGCTAGTCAGATTAGATCAGACGATCCTCGGTATATTGGTAGTCTATCAAATATATCTTGGAACCTCCTCGCTTCTGTCTCTTGATTGGTGGGTACGATCCATACTAGAAGGTGTTACTAGTTAAAACGTTGACAAACTTCGAATACCTGTGGCATCATCACCAGCTTAGACAAAACACTTCTCGACATCCAAATGCTCTCCAAGTATACATTCGGACCCCTTTATTTGTCTTTTGATTTGACTTAGTTGGTATACTTCGTTTATAAATGTGTTCCGTGTAAAGAAGTTGTCAAACTCCGAATATCTGTAACATCTTCGGCAATGAACATGTAACTTTCACAATTCAAAAGAATGAAGTAGAAAATGATTACAGTGTATAATACTCCGCGCATTCATTCATTTCACTAGCCCAGTCATACCCTCCAGCACGAATTACAGTTAACTGGACATCCATTTAAGAAAGCACGCGAATGAAGACACCCAAAAATTTGTTCAAAATTTTTCGTGGTTACAAACTGTAAATGGTGGAGGCCTGATTGTTACAAAAGATAACCCGACATTTATTTTATTCCGGTAATTATTCAGGCAAATTGCTCTAGTTGTAACCAACTAGTTAGCCTTCACCTTACCAATCGATATTTTGCCCTTAATATTTGAGAAGAACAAAAATTAAACCCATCGCCCTGTAACCACTAACCTTTTTATACATCTAGACTTAGATTCTCAGTGACAAGTTTGAGATTTCTGCTAAGTAAAGTCTTTAGTCTCAGTATGAATACAACACGGTGTAGCCAGAATCTTATATTTTCCACTCTCATCTACTATCAGGAAATAGTCACAGGTGGGAGATTAATGTTTACGTATGTTGAAAACATGAGAGCCTCGATGACCACCTTCATCAAAAAGAATTTACCTGCTCTGAACATTTTGAGCATGTGGGCACAAGATTACCTGGTTCAACTTTGTTTATACAAGTGGGAAAAAACTTTCTGTTTCTGAAATTATTGAAAAGTGTATATGTTGGAGGCTGGCTCACATCACACCAATTTTCAAAGGAGGTCGACGCAGCGAATCTTCAAGTTACCGACCGGTGGCTTTCTCTTCATACTCTCAAAAATCATGGAGTCCTTGATATGCGATGATATAAATGACTATTTACTGTCCTTAAATTTCTTCTCACCCCAACAGCATGGTTTCAGGAAGGGCTAATCTTGTATTACCAACCTGCTGACTGCGGTGGACAGATGGACAAGCATCTTTGATTGCAAGGGGAAGGTTGATATCATCTACCTAGATTTCTCAAAAGCTTTTGATAAGGTTAACCATACATGTCTTATCAATAAGCTCAAACGATTGGGTATCAGACCAGCTCTAATCGATTGGCTCACTTCACACCTGAAAAATCGACGTTTTAAAGTCAGGGTTAATTTCACTTTATCTTGTAGTGACTCACATTTATCACGAGAACACGACTGGTTTAATAAAAACAATTATTATTATAACCAACTGTACCAGTGCTTGTTTTAATGTGCTTTTGTTTGACTGTGCTAATGACAGCTATTTTGTGCTTCCATTCTTATTCTTACACTTTGATTGTGACTTCCATGAATTCGGTTACGTTCTGTAACCAAGCTTGTATTCTGGCACGATCTCGGTATCCTTTAGATACAACGAGATCGCCAGCGAATATATCTCGATTTGGTTCATTAACTGTCTTCTGATATTTGGCTTCTCGGGGATCTTATGGATTTATTTGATTACGTTCAACCTTCGCCTTCTGATTTACTTGGCACGTGTTTTTCGGTAGCGGTGTTCATAGTCAATCTCGACTCGACACCACGCTACAATCTCAGGCTATGGAATGTCCTAGTGGGGTCCTCCAGGGCTCAGTACTACGGCCTCTTCTCTTCTTAATCCACATAAATGATCTTCCTCAACAGGTAACGTCAGACTTACTACTTTTTGCCGACGACGTGAAACTTTGGAGAGAGATACGCAACCAAAACGATACACAGGCAGTTCAGGAGGATCTGACTCGACTTCAAAGTTGGGCAGACGACAACGGACTTACCTTTAACACTTCAAAGTGTAAAGTAGGCCATCTGCGGCATGTAGCAGGCTACAGTTACAACTTAATAAACTTCTCTCTAGTAGTATTCCGAGTCGAAAAAGATTTAGGAGTCCTGGTACCCTACGATTTGAAGTCTTACGCTAACTGTGACAAAAATGCCTTTCGAGCAAATCTTGCACTGGTGACATTGAGGCGCATTTTTGACCAGTTTGACGGAAGAACTTTCCATATAATCTTCATCAGTTTTATTTGTCCTTATTTAGAGTAAGGAAACATAGTATTCCCTCCCACACTTCAAAAGGATAAGGACACTCTGGAGCGTATCCAACGAATTCAGTTCGGGGACTCAAATTTAAACCATTTGAAGAGCGCCTCCAATCACTTAACCTTCACATATTAGAGTATAGGCATCTTAGAGGTGACCTTCTGATGGCTTATAGTATCCTTAACCATTCTGGACATCCTCTCAAACACCTACTTAAGCTTAGTTCCAACATTAACCTAAGAGGTAACACCCAAAAACGGGAGACACAACATGGCAGAAGGGACTGTAGACACAACTTCTACTTTTTAAGAGTTGTCAAATTCTGGAATTCGCTGCCGAGCGAGCTAGTCCAATCAACTTCCCAGGAGTATTCTAAGAGGCAACTTTATCTATTCTTAAGGACTAAGGATAGTATCACACTATGATTTACTAATTTCTTTTCCTCTTTTATTGTTAACATACCTAGGTTCCTGCCTGGAGGATTTGGTGATCCCCTGCTACTAGATACGGAAGCCTGTTAAGCGAAAGCTTCTATTCCGTCCACAACCATTCGAACCACTTGAACATTGTACCTATTTTGCAGCGAAAATACGGTGTGCAAGCTACATGGTTTCGGGGCGGGTTCTGGGGGTTTTTATGTTTAGTGTTGGGTTTTTGTGTGGATATTATTTTCATATTCTTCACCTAAAGTACCTTCGTAAAAAGCAAAACTTCTTCCAGAACCGTCTCAAAGACGTTGAAAACAAACTCAAGAATTACTAAGTATCCAACCTTTCAACTAGCTTAAAACAATTGACTATTACTCATCTGCTGATGTCCTCTCAAGTTAAAGAAGATTTATATGGTGTATCATGGTCTAATCCAGCATGGAGTCACTTCCTTTGTTCAGCAAACGTTCTCGACTATTTTTGTGACCTTTCCAATCCCTTTTATGATAGGCAGTGTAATAATGAGGTTATTCGTATGCAAAGACTCCATCCTGAGCAACTGTTGTGCATGACAGGTGTTGAGTTTTATCTCCATCACGCTCAAGTAAGTCTGTTCAGTCCGAAGTTTTTTAAACTACAAGCTCTTAATCAACATCTTAGTCAATTCTTTACGTTTCGTCACCTATAACTCTAGCCCATCCAAGAACCACCCACGTAGGAAGTCCAGTTTGCCCGTCTTACAGCAAAGATGTGGCTTAACTTATCATCATCACACAACGCTTTATATGAGTGTTAAGGTGACACGGGATCGAGTCCGTCGGGGGGGCACCAGTTACCTCAAGATTACAAGTACACCTTGCTGACGAGTGCCAAGTAGCACGAAACCCGGGTCCAGGGTTCCCTGTTGAATACCTCCAACTACCATCTTAAATTGAAACTTGGGTTGTGATACCCAGCAAGTCCGCTTTTAAGATCTGGTTGTGTTATGATAGCCCTCTGAAGACTAATCATGCTTAGTTTTCACTTTCGCTTTACTGGACTATCCGGACCGCGACCGACCTCTTGCAGGACTGAGATGTAATCACAATTGCTTGATCACTGGGTGGTAATCAATGTCATGTGTATTAAGTCCTTAGTGCAGATCGAATGCTATCGACCAAGTTGCAATGTGGCCACCAGTCTAGATGACTGAACATTGTGTTGAGATAAGATGGTAGTTGTAGGTCGATAGCATTCGATCTGCACTAAAAAGGACTTGACAGATGTGAGATCGATCATCACTCAGTGATCAATCAATTGTGGCTTCGTTCTGTTTTCTTTTCATGATTTTACCCTTGCAGTATATGCTATTGGATCTCTAATTGAAGGCTGGAATGACGAGATTATAATTTATGGATGACCTTCAAGCGTCACCTAAATGACTAAGAAAGCTCACCCACCTCTTAGGGTCTACAGAAAGTTATCAATTAGTGCGGGAAATCAGAATTGATATTAGAACTTAGAAGTTAGGGTTTTAATCACGGTCTAGACCGTGATATCAGCTGATATCGACTATGATGCCAAAATGTTATTTAAGCATATGAATGGATGAATTTCACGCCAAAATTCAAAACCTACTTTCTAAAATCTGATTAGTTTGTCCATAAACCAGTCTCACCCACAAAATATGTATGGCTGAACACTTAGTTTACAAACGTATATATAGTTAGTCAGCTCCGTAACTTTTAAAACTGGTAACTAATTTGTAAAATCCAATAATCACACAAGCTCTATGTCTTGTTGCTCTAAGTTTTGGTTGTTCTCACTACATATGTGGGGCTGTTACTTAGCCATCCAAGCTTTGAATTCATCCATTGGATATTGGGTTCAGGTGTTGCCGTAGTGGAGTATTTCAAACTTTCAAACTGCGCTTCAGCTTAGTACATCGACTTGCACATAGGTCGCATCGCATTAATTATTTACAAGCAAGTAGTCCTCCTTTTTTACATGTATTGGTAGAAGTGGGCTTATAATAAGCAGTGATAAAACCAGCATATAGTACTAACTGAGGCCTTTAACTATGAGTGTTGTCCATATGGAAGAATTCGAACTTTCTGGTTAAGGTTAGCGAAACGACTGAAATGTGTTTCAGAACTTAAAATTACCAGTCATGGGTGCATTCTTTTTAACCTTACTACACATTATACATATTTTATCATTATACACCCGCCCTCATATTTCCACCTCTGTTTCCTGTTCTATAGTCGGTTGAGTCACAACGTCAAGTTCGGTCTGGACATCCAATAAATTTATTTTGCTTTCTAAGCATATATGAATCATTCTAATGCCTGTCTGTCCTTGTGTACTGAATTAATACCAGTTCCTTATGTGCCTTTCCCGTGAATTATATTAACTTTTATCATTCAGTCACACGCAACGTAGAAACTGACACGTGTATGCATCAGTTTGAGTTGCCGCATCGCATTAACACAGAAAGATAAAATTATCAAGAGTAATGCTAAAGTAGTAGCAGTAGTAACCGTATCAGTGGTATTAAAAGAGATTTCACACCAATGATATAATTCGAGAACAAACTATCCACAGAATAAAGAGTAAGGGGTAACTTTAAAACGTAAAACTTAAGGAAACACAAAAAGTAGACACATCTGAGCCATTGACACTTTTGAATCATGTCACCAAACATCACCAATAATCGGAAAATATAATGCCGTTGACTCTAAACAGGTAGTCTGCACCTACCTAGACGGCTCAATCCAGTCAGTCAGCTACAACGTAGGACCAGGCACATATATGCATCGGTCCAAGTTGCCATACCTCATTAACACAACAAGATGGACACCGGATTCATAAAACTAGTTAATTCAGATTTGGTAGTATATAAAAGAAAGATTGCAATAAGGATATAGTACACGAAGAAAGAGTTAGTTCGTAGAAAGAAAGATATGAAGCAATTTTAATCTCTTAGTTTGAGGGAAGATAGAGAGTGTATACACCGACGCCATTGTGATCGATTCTGAGCCATGCCACCAAGAGTCTCCAACCATTGGTTACGATAGTCACGCGGACCCCAACCAAGTAGTCTGCATCTACCACCATGGCTCAGACTAGAAGTTAGTGACTTCCAGCACTGATGCCACGTTTTGGTTTGGCCGCCCCTAACTTTCTTCCAACCATTTCCAAAACCGGATAGCATTGCACGTCGTGGTAATCGGTGTTCAGGCATACGTAACACGTAACCATCTCAGACGATGAAGATTAACAACCTCATCAACTGATTTGGCATTATCCCCTAATATCTTGCGTCTAACCTCCCTACTACTTACCCGGTGATCCCAGCAGACGCCAGCAATATTTCTAAGGCATCTGTGGTCAAATATTAGTAGCTTACGAGTGTCTTCTACTCTTAATGGCTATGTTTCGCTGCCATAAATTAAAACAGAACGGACTGTATACTCGTCCTTTTATTGATAGATGGATATCTCGCCTTCGCCATAGGTGACGGCTCAATCCAACCGTTAATGGATTCATGGATGGATGTCCCGTTTTTTCGTTGGCTGATCCACTTTTCCTTTAGCCTACTACAACAGTAAACAACTGTTTAGGTATTTGGTGGTTTGACATACGTAAAGCATGTCCCAACAACCTCATTTTACTAAAACTCATTACGTCAACAACCAGTTTGCTATCTTTACCTAATACACTTAATCTAAACTCAACTATGCCCACTCGGTCGTCTCAACATGAGCGAGCAGTACTACAAAGGCATCTATGATTAGACATGCCCCGACCACCTCGATTGATGAAGATTTACTACGTTGTCAATCGATTTGCCATCCTTACTCAGTACCCTATTCCTAACCCAGGCAGTGCTTCGAAGAAAACTGTGATCGAATAACAGTAACCTACGAATATTCTCTATTCCTAATGGCCATGTGTCACATCCATAAATTAGAACGGAGCGAACTGCTGTGTAGTAAACGCGTCCTTTGATTGAAATATGGATATCTCACCTACACCACAAGTAACGCAAGTTGGCAAAAGCCGATTGGGACTTCTGAATCCGTGTAGAGATTTCGTCAGACATCAGGACTGATGAGGATCCCAAGGTGAATAGAGTGGTTGATACTCTCTACTACTTAATTCTCCATCACTAACTCAGGCGCTGACGCAAGCCCATCCTGAAGCAACATTTTGCAATTGCAAGGTGAGAATCCCATCCCAAACATGTTTGCATTGTTGTAGAAAGTGGTCAGAAGATTGCATTTGTCAGCGTCCTCACCAAACAGATTTATGACATTTGAGTATTCTAAGCAAACAAGTGAATCTTCTGGCAGAAGATCAATCGCTGAAAAGTTAGAAGAGGAAAGTGTTATCTCTAAAAGCATGTCTATCAGTCAGTCAGTAACATGTCTATAACAAAGTCAAATGAAAATGGGGAAAGCGGACAACGCTGACGAGTACCAATTAAAGCAATTAATTTCGATGGCAGTTTGCAATATACTTTATATCAACCAATGCTTTTTCAGTAAAAAGCTTTTAGTTGCTCGATATCTGATCTATACATCCACGTCCATGCATGAAATACACCTGGTTTTCTTGGGTTCGCTCTTTACAAACTCTGGTTTGGCGTCGAATTATCAATGAGGCTAATATTTTAGATATCATATTAATTAAACTAATTCGTCTGTGATTGTCACAAGAATATTTTTCTCCTTTTTATAAATTTGAGCAATCATGACCTGTCAGACTGGATTTCTTCCAAATTCTAGTTAAGACTTAAACATACAAACTCAAGTGGAGGTGAGCATGCTGTAAAGTGTGATCGATAAACGAACTCACCAATCATAAAGTGAAACGCCCACCACCGCATTAACTTTCTTTGACCTTGTATGACTATGTCTTTCTTATTCATCAATCACAATTTTTATGTTCATTATAAAACAATATTCGCCGTGTTGACTCATTTCCCCTATCCTCTAGTTACTGTTCGGTATGTTATTTGTCTCCGCTTTTCCCTGTTTTAATAGACTGTACTGCTTATTTTGTACATTAACGGTGTTAATTTATGTCTTAGAAACAGATAAAGTTTATCAAGCCATATAGCTTACTTGTTCTGACTTTGGCTAAACCAAGACTCTGTGCTCGACAGTCTAGAGAATAGCTTAGAGTTACACCTGTAGGAAATTGCTTCCTACACGTGCTATAGATCTACTGTCGAAAGATTTATTTAGTTTTGTGAATACACTTAGAAGTCAATCATGTTATTATTTTCTATCGTAGACTGGATTCTGTGTAGCTCAAATGTTCAATTCTATGCGCTAGTTGTGTCAAAATCTTTTTACTAGGAAAAGCAATGTAGCTTTTTCGAAAGATTTTGTATTAGCGAGTCTCATTGGATATCATTGGGTGCTTAATTAGAGTAGTGAATCTCGTCCATAAAAAAGAAATTTTTTTATTTAAAAACCAAGACTTACGTTAGAAGAAATGAAAGTAAAAAGGATTGTTAATTTTGTTTCATTTTTTATAGGAACCCATACTGTTCATAATACGAAAGCAGCAACGTTTATCTCCAACTCAAGTCACTCCATTGGCTTATTACTATGTGATTAATGGGACAGTACTTCAAGCGCCAGATCTTTCTACTCTCCTGAACTCTCGTTTGTTGACAGCGATTGTAGGGTTGAAGAAAGTAATCCAGGTATTATTTTGGTTTTGGCATCATTATTCTTATTCTCATGGTTTGAATTTCAATTTGGAAACACTGTCTGTTTTGTGTGTATAACATGTTAAATAGATCGTGAATTTGACAAAACTTCCAACAGAATAATCAGGTTTTCTTTAATGTTGTCAATGTTTAATTGTTTTTGGATTTCTGCTGAAGCCTGCACTCAATAAGTTACAAGTACATATCACAGCGTATGATGTTTTCGTCTGTCACCAAAACAATTCCTGTGATGTTGTTTAACAGCTTTTGCATAGAAGACTGTGGCATAATTATTGGTCCATTCTTCCATGTGGCTCTTTATTTGGTTGAAGATAGTTTTCGAGCCTTGTTTACATGGCCTCAGCGTCGTTTATGTGTATTCTAATATAGGGATTCACAAGGTACCGTTTATGTACACGACAGGTGTATCCAAATCATGGTAAGCATTTAAAAGTCTTCTAATCATGTGTTCTCGTTGCCGTCACTTGAGTCAATGTATTTTTAATTATGGGTAATACAATTGATGCCACCCCATCTGAGTCATCTCTCCTTTTTTGACCTTCGATTTAGTGCATGAACTTAGTTTCCAAAGGAACATGGTTTCGCATCTATAACATCGAATTACAAAGATTTATGTAATCTCGTTATAGTAGTCTTACTTGAGAGAAAAATCTGATTTGAAAAATACAAAAAGCTTTATACTGATATAATCCACTCATTAGTAATCACTAAATTTGTTCTTTTGTAGACATTAGGTCCTTGTGCTCGGTATCATCCTTCAGACGGTTCCTATTCATGGGATGACCCTAATGTTTTGCTTGGATATAATAAAGAACCAGATCAAACTTATATAAAATCTCAGTCTACCTCAAGTACTGAAAGAGATCTATATAAAAGTGCAAATTTATTTCAAGTTCAAAGAACAGATACCCTACTTGCTGATTGGATGAATCGTTTTCCTGTCCCATCGGCAAGTTTTATTCAAAATCTGGCCAACTCAGGACAAACGTCATCTGTACCGACAGTTACTTCTGCAGCTAACGCGAGTGGAGTCGTTTCTCTTACATCAGCTCAAACTGTAAGATATTTCCAAGAATCTATTCACACAACTAATGTAATCATTTAATCTGTATTTATTCACGTTATCAAAACCATTGAAGATTTAAGTCAGACTTCACTGAAAAATTATTAATGATCATAGTCTAAATCATGAAGTGATCTCAAAAAACCCACCATAACCAGAAAGCATGGACAACTATTTCGTACTATTTTTTATGTTGGAACTACTTTACTCTTTCGGTAGAAAGCAGAAACTTGGATTATAATTCTTGTTTGGTGATCACAATATTTCTAGTTTATTTTGTGTAATTTACACGCACTTTCACTAGTAAGCGCCGTAGATATTTACACTTTTGCATTCTTGATGTGTAACACACCATTCGTTTTTATTTGAAGTAAGCATAGCTAAAAGATCGACATAGACAAAAAAATCAAAAATTTGAAAGTAGCTAGGGAAAATAAAACGTAAATTATCTGTTTGGAACGTAAACATACATACGACACCCAACAGGTTTTTCGAAAAAAAATCATTGAAAGCAGTAAATAAACCGCTTGAAAGCTTTTTGACTCAATTAGTCGAATCAGAGCTCATTGCAAACTGTCATCGAAATTAATTGCTTTAATTGGTACTCGTCAGCGTTGTCCGCTTTCCCCATTTTCATTTGACTTTGTTATAGACATGTTACTGACTGACTGATAGACATGCTTTTAGAGATAACACTTTCCTCTTCTAACTTTTCAGCGATTGATCTTCTGCCAGAAGATTCACTTGTTTGCTTAGAATACTCAAATGTCATAAATCTGTTTGGTGAGGACGCTGACAAATGCAATCTTCTGACCACTTTATACAACAATGCAAACATGTTTGGGATGGGATTCTCACCTTGCAATTGCAAAATGTTGCTTCAGGATGGGCTTGCGTCAGCGCCTGAGTTAGTGATGGAGAATTAAGTAGTAGAGAGTATCAACCACTCTATTCACCTTGGGATCCTCATCAGTCCTGATGTCTGACGAAATCTCTACACGGATTCAGAAGTCCCAATCGGCTTTTGCCAACTTGCGTTACTTGTGGTGTAGGTGAGATATCCATATTTCAATCAAAGGACGCGTTTACTACACAGCAGTTCGCTCCGTTCTAATTTATGGATGTGACACATGGCCATTAGGAATAGAGAATATTCGTAGGTTACTGTTATTCGATCACAGTTTTCTTCGAAGCACTGCCTGGGTTAGGAATAGGGTACTGAGTAAGGATGGCAAATCGATTGACAACGTAGTAAATCTTCATCAATCGACGTGTTCGGGGCATCTTACGCATGCCAAACCACCGTGTTCCTTGCCGAGCGGTGTTTTTTGGTGTAAGAGTAGACTGGATCAGAGCTAGGGGTGATCAAATCAAGAATGTCATCAGTTCATGAAGTCATTCGTAATAGGGCTGAGACATTTTAGTGGGTTTAGGCCACATTTTTGTAGGCTGCGTGATCATGGTAACGAGTTTTTAAAGGCTGAATGAAATGGTTCAGTATTTTTACAATTGGGCTAGTAGATTCAGTGTTTTTTTCTCTCCCAAATTCTGAGCTTCTAGATCCCATACTTTTTGCGTCAGTCGTTCAGATTTCTTTAATCGTATCTTTGATACCCAGTCTTTTCCAATTGTGGCCGTCCTTTTAATGCTTCCTCTGTTCTGGAACTTGCCCTAACGGTGTTATCTCGCTGTGGTCTTGGCTTATGGTAACTTTTAGTGATGTATATTTTGTGCTACGTTCTTTTATTTTGGTTGACTGAGTAATGATTGTGTTGTTTAACAGAATGAATATCCTTTCACTAAGTCAGGTCGATTAACAGTTACTTCATGACTTTTAGAATCACCCAACTGATGTCCTTTGGAAATATTCTGTTTTTTTTTCATAGAATATCTCTGTTTTTTTACTTTTCCAGACATCTTCTGGGAAAGAAGAAAATCTTCAGAACAGCTGCAATTCTCCAGCTAAGTTACCTACACGGCTGCCTACATTACCCGGTGTTTCTGTTGTCCCAGGACCATCACCAAGCACTTCAACGCAGCCATCACTGCTTGTAGACCGAAAACCTCGTGTTTAGCATATTTTTAGTTTCTTCAATTGATACTGTTAAAAGCTGTACAAAAAAAGGTTTGGCATAGCATCATTTTTTATTTCGATAAGTTTATTTAGAGATCCAATCATGATGTACTCTGATGTCATTTTTACTTAGTAACGTATTTATAAATTTATTACTCTTCTTTTATATGTAAATACAAATTTTTCCTACTAAAAATTGACTTTTGTTCACAGCTTTCCCATAAATTGGAGAGTATAGTTAACATATGGACCATTTTGTTTTCGAACAAAGCATCATGATTCTCTTACGTTACGACAATGGAATGAGAAGACGAAGTTTATCAGAATTATGTAGTATATTTACGCAATGCATTTCGAACAATCTGATCACACATATACTTGTTAAGACATTTTTATATGAAAATTAAAAGGTCAACTAGATAGGTTAAAGGTAAGCCGTAACAAAGAAAAAAAATAATAAAGTACACAAAAACAATGTGATGACCACCTGTCTCACGTTACTAAAATTTCCGTCCTTACCAACTTGTGTAACTTCATGAATAATAAAATTGTAAGTCTGTGATCATTTGCTAATATATTCATTTATCTCTTTTTAATTGACTAGTGAAAGCTTTGGTTTTTATTTGTGCTACTTATTTTTAGTAAGTAGTAAGACTATAATCATTGTTTTTCCGTATCACACAAAAATTATTAACTGTCTTGTTGATAACCATAATTATGAATCAATCTCTTTCTGTGACTACCCTCAGTCATAATACTCTCAGACAGTAAATTCTGCGTAGTGAAGTTACGTTTCACAATCGTCTCGTTTAGTTTTGGTAGATATCGTTACATTTCGATCTGTTTTATGTTAACAATTTTTCACACGTTATTTGAATTTATTTTCTATGATCATGATTTAATTTTGGTGTGTTGGGTGTTTTAAAGTAACGTCTTGCCGGTGACTATAAGTTTTTTTTGATCGATGATCATTCCGATGCATATCTTGGTTTGATTTACAGATTACAATCAGGATTTTACACAGTATATTACTAGTTGATGCATGCCTGAGTTGTGTTTACAAGAATACGTATTGCATAATAATGGCTATGAATCTCTTAAATATATAACACTAAGCTAACAGTTGCATCTTTCCTCAATTAATTTGCAGTTAGAATCCAACTTCAATTTGTTTTAAACATCTGGACATCAATCGCTTTGAGAATTCACTATGGTGCACTGTGAAACGATATTAGTTTTTCTATAACGAAATAAATGAGAGGTTGTTAATATATCTTAGTAAGATATTTGCTTAGTAGCCCCATATACTTACAGAAGTTTAACATTTTGGTCCAGCGAGTCGTAGTTTGGTCGCTGTTTTTCAATCTCACTAATTTGTTGGTAGAGTGGGGTTGTTGCTTAACCTGAACAACTACATCTCTTAGTGCTTTGGCCTACTTTACTTGACAAATATTCCCTCTTAAGAAATGTATCAACTGCTCTTGACATTTAATAGGTTGAAGAAAAACTGATAGGAACAAGCTATACTTCATTAATATGGTTCGATGATTAAAGATATCATGAAATCTTTCAAACTAAGTGGCTTTGTCAAGATTTTATTTAAGGTAGTAAATTCGATCTTCAGTTTGGTTTTGTATAAAACCCAGATGAACTAAACAAAGACTAATGTTTGATTGGTCGTTAATTCGTAACTAACATAATATGTAATCGTTTGTGCTGGTATGGCCTTATTTCTCAACTTACGATGTGATAACTAAGCTCAGTGACTTGACGTTATGGTACAATTTGTTATACAGCTGTTGGCAATAATCGCTTTCGCGCTTATTAATATTCATCACTATAGTGTATTTACAATTTTTATGTTACCCGTCTGCTTCGATATTCAAAGACAAATTGCACCAGGAAGTCAATCCACTTATTTTAATACTCGCATTTCAAATTGATCATTATTAAGATTAAAACAGCATGGTGTTGATTACTACTCAGTAACCAGTTATTATAGACATCTCATATTATCATTAAGCCAAGCAGTCGGAATACTGTAATCTACACTTTAACCTTGAATAAAGTTATAATATAACCAGATCGATCTTTAACTGTAAGAAATGAGCTTATTTTCCATGTGCTTGACTCTACTACAAATCTCCTAAATCTCTTTTAGAGAGACAATCAGCAACTCGCATACCATCATCATAATTAATAATTGAATGATTTTCAGGACGATTTAAAGTCCATTTTTAATTATAATAAATTGTCATCGTTTTTTATTGCTTTGCTTACCGAATATCATTCTATTATAATTCAACTTTGAGTTCACTCAATTTCTCTTCCATTACTTTGTGTTTAGTTTTCTTCATAATTATGACTAAATCAACTTTTTTTTAAAAAGATTGCATAATCAATCATCACTGTTTTTTGCCTGCTGCCATATTAAAAATCCTATTGGTCAGTGAATATTCCATCTTATTATTTATCTAATATTTTAAATAAATGTGGTTAAATAAATCAAAAAAAAGAAGAAAACTTATAAAGTTCACTTATGAAATGTGACTAGTTGACCTTAGATAACAAACTCTCATCACCTTCATTTAGACAGATTGTTTGTGATTTCTTTTGCAAAAAATATAAAAAAGATATCGAAAGTTTATTGATTTGAATGGAAGGAAAGAATTAAAAGCATAACAATATAAAAACTAATAAAAAAAAAAGAAGTAGGCTGAGTAGAAAAACACACAGTTTTAAACTGATCATCGTTGCCCAGAAGTTTATCATTCTTTAATCTAACATTATATATATGTAATACTATTATTCCATCTGTTCTCTAAAATCAGAGTTATTCATTCATTTTTATATGTATACTATACTAACTTACATGACAGTTAACACTTGTAGATTTTGTATAAACAATGTACATGTGTCACGATAGGACCAAAATTACTTCATAAGATGAAGTGAAAATAAACAAGAATAATAGTAAAATTATTAATCAGATATAATGAACAGATGTAACACACAAAATACACAAAATCTTTAACATTGAGTATGAAAGAGAGAAGAGTATTTTGATATTGTAATTCGATAAGAATATATGAGTTTGAAATGAATAAGGATAAAATAATAATTTCTTATTGAAACAAATTACTATTAGTTTGTAAAATAAACATCAAAATTAATGATGATGTAAAATATCCAACTTCATTTATTGTTTTGTAAATCTGGTTTCTTAAGTTGTGAAAATATTCAGGTTTCTATATGAGATCTAACTCATAACTTTCAAATCTATCAAAACAAGATACTTGAGAGATTCAATAGTTCACTGACACTATCCAGTAGTTGTGATACTATGAAAAATCCTACTGTTTAATACTAAGCTCTTTTCGATTTTTCTTAATAATAATTGGTAATAGTAATCGGTAAAATTGAATTTTGGCCAGCGCGCTTTTCGACCTATTATTCTTCAGCTACATTGGTTCATATCCCATTACTAGTGTTCACATTGCGACTGGTACCTTTCATTCTAAATGCCAATCCATGATTCAATTAGATACTGAGTCCGAAGTAGCCATCAATTTGTTTAACGGATATGTAGGTAGAAGTAAAAAATTTTCATTGTTAATATTCAAGGTTATATTTGTTTATCTGAACTCAGTAGATTAGTGGATGATGCATTGGTGTTTTAAACAAGAAATATCATGTTCAGATCTCTGTGTGAACATCAACACTGGGATTCGGGTACATTCAAGTGACAAGACACGAGTCTTGAATTTCATTCTTTGCAAAATACCAAATCTACTAAAAATTATCACTTAAAACTTTGTCGAAGCATTATGTTTAAGATGCATATTTACTAATCATTCAAAATCATGATTATCAACAACAAGAAATTGTAAATCCTTGTTAATGATATTGAGTTTGAGTGGAAAATTATTTTTTTAACTGCAGTAACTCTTCAAAAATAAACACAGTCTTGGTAACAGGGGTAAGTAAGTATAGTTTTCATTATACGATTAGTTGCAATGAAAACAATCAATTGAGCACAGACAAATGTCAATATCACTTTATGTGCTAATTTGTGAATTTTTTTAATAGAATAATGATTATCTATTAATGAATTGAATTAATAAAAAGGAATACAATAAGAGTATAAATAAATTCAAAGATTTTAGTCATCAATCTTAATTATTTAATAATCGAAGTTAGTTTACTACTTCCTGAAGATGTGTTAATAAGTTTGTCAGAGAAAGGATAAAAATTTTGAATATAATCTCTATTATATATTGATAGTTTGTCGAATGATTCCATCTATGGGTAATCATTGAAAATCGATACTTTTCGTATGTCAATTTTTATTGTTATATAAATTCAATGCTTTCATTCTGTTTATTTAATGTAGTTTTTGATTGAGATCATGAACCGAGTGATGTTAGACCACCTTTGGAAGCACTAGATGGCCGTTTCGTCCTATTGTGAGACTCCTCAGCAGTGAGCATCCACGATCTTTCTCGCGGGATTCGAACCCAGGGCCTTCGGTCCTGCGCGCGAACGCTTAACCTACTGGACCACTGAGCCGGCATCCAATGGTGATAGTCTCTAACATCAACCAATCCACGACATTGCGCGACCAACTTCCATTTTAGTGAGGTAGATACCTGTCTCTACCCTACATGGATTAGTATAGTTTATCTACAATTTGATTGCATATTTTCTTTCAGGAACAAAATAAATTGTATTTAAAAATATTTAATCGTAATTATAATCTAACAAATAGAAGAATCAATGTGTTGTAATAATTTTCACAAGTTTTGTTTTTACTAATCATTTGAATGGATCAAAATTACCAATTTTGCGTTTGTTTTATTTTTGGCATTTACTCAACCTTTTGTCTTCTCTCTTTTCACATGATGTTATTATTATTGTTTGGTTGTGTTGTTTCTTCTCTTTGATTTAAATGTTTCGCTTCCTTTATGTGAACACGCAATTCAGATTGCATTGTAAATTCGC